GGAGGGAAGGTTAAAGTGCTGGCTACGTCTTTCAAAGTTTGAAGAAAATCCAGCACAGATTCACTGCACAGACATGGAAGCTACAAACTACCACTGCTTCTGTTTACTGTAATCCATGCCAAAAATCATTAGGGCTCATAATTTTGCACTGAAAGTCCAGAAAGGCACATTTCACTTCTGCTCCCCCATGTATACAGCCAGGTGTAATTAGTGTCCTGAGAGAGTAGTTTTTGGGCTGCAGGGGTTAGGCCAGGGGTCAGCAAATTCCCCTTACCTGGGGCCGTTCCAGGGATCCCCTGGTCTTCTTCGGGCTGATGGTGTGGGGGGGAAATGGTGGCGTGTGCTCTCACATGCACGTGCATGCGCAGTACACTGGAAGTACTGTGCATGCATGCGCACACTTGCTTGTGCATATGCAGTACTTTTGGAGTACTGTGCATGTGCGAGTGAGTCACAGCTGCCATGTTGGAAAACAAAATGGCGGCCGCGGCTCATACTCACATGCACAGGAGTACTGCGCATGCGCACATGAGTTGCAGCTACCATTTTGGAAAACAAAATGGCAGCCGTGACATGCACAGCGGCGGCATGGCAGCAGCATGTGCGGCGGCAGCGGGGGTTGGTGGGGGCCGACCCAAAGGCCTCGGGGGCCAGCACCGGCCCACAGGCCGTAGGTTGCCAACCCCTGAGTTAGGCAAACCTATCACAGGGGGGGCCGGGCAGGATTAGTTCAGATAGGGGTTTGCCTTTGCCTCCCTCTGAGGCTGAGATTATAAGACTTGCCTAAGGCAACTCAATATGTTTCCATGGCTCAGCAGAGATTTGAACCCTGGTCTCCAGAGTCCTAGTCAAACACCAAACCATTATACCATGCTGGCTCTAAGGTTATATATATGCTTGTACATGCTTTCAAATAGCCTGTCAACATATGGTGAACTCATGAATTTCAGAGGATTTTCTCAGGTAAGGAATACTCAAAGGTGGTTTTACCAGTTCCTTCCATTGACATATAGCCTACAGCACCTAGTATTCATTGGCAGTCTCCCATCCAATTACTAACTTGGCTGTACTAACCAAGTATTAGCTTCCAAGATCAGATGGGATCTGGTGCCTTTGTGGGTATTTAGGTCTATAAATAAATACAGAAATAAAATAAAAACACAACAATGATCATTACCCACATTCAACCAGTTTTTGGAGGGATAAGCAGGTGTGTTAGTCTGTTTTAGCATGTAAAGGGAAAAAAAGAAGGGAAAAAAGATGGTGAATGAGAAAATAATCCAGCAGCCCCCTTAAGACTGATTTATCTTAATATGACATGCAACTAGTCAGACCTCTGCCCATGCCAACTGAAGAGGCTAGTTTCCCTCACAAGGCAGTTCTAGCATTCAGTTTGGGAATCTTCAAAGTAATTGTGCTGAATATCTCACTCCACTGGTATAATACCAGTGGGAGGAAATCACGACAGGCTTCTCTTAAACAAAACAAAACAAAACAAAACCTTCACTTTGGGCTATGCTTTACAGTCTGTCCAAAGACTGAAATTATACATTTTGCACAAAATATATGTCTTATATTATTCCCTTGTTTGGTAAAATATTCATTATGTTTTTTAATATAAAGTTTCTCTATAGGTTTGTTGTATCCTTTTTCTATCAGTTTTTCTAAAATATGGTTTACCTTTTGATACAATGGTTTTATTAACTGCTTTGAGCATCCTTGAAATAGGAAAAGTAGAGTACAAATTGATAATGAAGAATCATTTGTTTGTCAAGCAACTCCAACCATTGGGCTCTGAACAAATTAGCATAATAATAATAATAATAATAATAAATAATAAATTTTATTTATAGCCCGCCCCTCTGCGTGGCAATCAGGACGGGGTACAACATTTTAAAACAGACAAGTTAAAACATTCCCTCATCCCATAATCCCACCCTCCCATCCCCCTAAAACAGAATTAAACTAGTAAAGAGTTAAAAATACAACAATAAAATAAAACACTCCAAGAGCACAAAGAATCAGAAATCATAGAACATGATGAGACCCAGCATGGCATAGTGGTTTGAACATTGAACTATGACTCTGGAGATCAAATCTCTGTTCGGTCATGGAAACCCACTGGGTGACTTGGGCAAGTCACATCATCTCATCATCAGAGGAAGGCAATGGCTAGACTCCTTTGAACAATTCTTGCCAAGAAAACCCCATATTAGAGTCACCTTAGGCTCACCATCAAGAGTTGCTTTAGGCTCACCATTAGGCTCACCATCACCACCAAGTCACAAACTACCTGAAGGCACACGACAACACAACAACAACAAATAGAATATGATGAGCCTGGGGAATTGTTAACACAACATTAGTGGTCTAATTAATTTTTATTTCCATTTCTTGGCTTTTAAATCACTATGTTCTAAACCACTCTTAATTCTATTGATAGTTTAAAATACTATTGGTATTTATATATATATATATATATATATTTACACTTATATATGCTTTTACTTGTTTCTGTAAGCCACCTTATGTTCCAGTTCTGGGGAAAAGACTTGGGTCTGACTACCTACTTACTTAACTCTCAGACTGCATATATGTTTAATTTTGACTATTTATTTTTTAAATTTTTATGTTTAATTTTTTAAAATAATCAGTCATTCAAATATGTGCCCAGAAAGCATTGTTTCGGCAATATTATCTTAGAAACACTTCAGACCTACCACATGAAACCCTCTTCATGTTTGTTAAAATATTGTGACCCCTGAGTTAGTCCAAAATATGCGTCTGAGGCTACAGTATTCAAAGAGAGAGAGCAGGCATATCCAATGTCACACCCAAACACAGCATTATTTCCTGCTTTGTTTGCAAGCCTGCCTCTCTGATAAAACTTCATTTGAACTGCCATACAGTAGCTGCCACCAGTAAACACTGCTTTCATGCAGACATCAGGGCATACAGAGGTTCTCTCTAGCTGTGATAACAAAATAAACTAACATCAGAAAGAGTAATTAGCAGACCTCACTTTGGACAAAGAGTAGGTGATAAATATATGGGGATGGTATGGTCCTTTGTTTACAAAACTCTAGAGAAAAAGAGTAATTAATGCTTTATGCCAAGCGTTGGCCCTCCAGGTGTTTTGATCTCTAATACTCCCAATCTCTTGCCTTTGGCCATGCTAGAGGGAACTAAAGGACAAAAGATATCCCATCTCTGCAAGAGGCTACTATCAGAACAGAACATGGAGCAACAGATTGGTTCCCAATTGGCAAAGGGGTCAGACAAGGCTGTATCCTTTCACCCTATCTGTTCAACTTGTATGCAGAACATATTATAAGAAAAGCAGGCTTGGACACAGAAGAAGGAGGAGTTAAAATAGGAGGAAGGGATATCAACAATCTAAGATATGCAGATGACACCATAGTACTAGCAGAAAACCTCACAGACCTGGAACACCTACTAAGGACAGCCAAAAGGACAAACAAGTGGGTCCTAGAGCAGATCAAACTGCAAATCTCCCTGGAAGCCAAGATGACCAAACTGAGGCTGTCATACTTCATGAGAAGAGAGGACTTTTTGGAAAAAAATAATAGAGAAGGTTGAGGGAAGTAGGAAGAGAGAAAGGCCACATGCCAGATGGATGGATTCTATTAAGAAGGTCACAGACTTTATGGGATTGCAGGAATTAAGCAGAGGGGTGGAGAACAGAGGGTCTTGGAGATGTCTCATCCATATGGCCACCATGAGTCAAAATTGACTCGAGGGCAGTTAACAACAAAACTCTGAATTATGTCCTAGTTACCGCCTGATTCATATAAATAAACCCATATAAATACAGGTGCTCATGTTGCCAGGATAATCCATACAGTGTATTGATTAGACTCCTGGATTGGGAGTTGGGTAAAGTTGCCATTTGTCCCAGAAAACCTGGAAAATCCCAGACTGAAGGGACTAAAAAAATGTCCCAGCTGGCTGGGACAGTTGAGGCAGTAAATTCCAGATTTTTCCTTCATCACGGGATGATGGGTGGGCTAAAATGTGGCAGTGGCAATTAATCAAGAAACCATGTAAGAAGACTGGCATTGGCAGAAGCCTCATCTCTTCCTGAAGGCTCCAATTGGTACTGCACAGATGACACCTTAATCTTCCATTTCCTCCCCCACTTCCTCTGACAGGACTAGAAGTTAGGAAAGGAAAGGAGGCAAGCAGAGATATCCTTGTGTTGTGTGGTGACTGAGTCAGTGGCTTGAGCCTAGGGCTAGGCAGCATGGTGGAACTTTGCTTCCAAACAGCCCTGGGAAAGTAAAGGGAGTCCCTTGTCTGGAGCTACTTGGAAGCCTCCCTCTCTTCACAACAGCTAGTGGGGGAAAGAAGGGGGGAAAGAGCTCTTAAGTTGATACTGGTACTGAAGTTGAAACGTAATGATAGAAAATATGCAATGATTAATTAGTTGAATTTGAATAATCAGTTGCAAATCAATAATATGCATAATTATAATAATCTGCATAATATTTGCATAACATGCAAATTAGATGCCCAGATATGAAGGACTGGAATATGGCAACCCTATATTTGGAAGATCTTGATTCAATTCTCACTGAACCATTTAACCCAGTGAGCAACCTTGGGCCTATTCCCTTTTGTTTTTTTAAAGCCCCACCTGCCTCTTAAGATTACTGTAAGCATAAAATGGGAAGAAGAGAGGCATGTGTGCTGTTTTACATGTATATGAGGAAGAGCAGGATGTATATGGAATGACATAAATGGATGGAATGATGGATAAATACAGTGTGCATCTACTTCTATGTACAGGAAATTCACTACAATTTTGCATGAGTGCCAGTTTCTGCATATAGAATGCTTCCTCAGAAATCAGGTCATATAATAAATATATGGAAAAGTAAAATTACATAATAACATAAATCCTGCTCTTTAATATGAAATTATGTAACAATGTAAACCCATATCTCTCCCATCACCATGCATACATCCAGTGCACAAAGGGGAAAGTAGTGCATCTCTCTGGCTGTGCCCTCAATATCTGCACAAAAGGAAGGCCTATGTGTAGAGTTGAATGTGTGTAGACATCCCATGCATTTGGGAACCCCTATTACATAGTGTTCCTTATTGTATGGACAGCCTATCTGCATATAGCTGTATGTGCATAGCTTTTTCTTTTCAGCAAAGATAAGGGAAACGTTTCACAGGGGTGGGTGAAATTAGCATACTCAGTCAGGCATAGAAAATACATGGTCTTTCAGATTTTGTAAGAGAGCCATTGTTGCTCACCACTGGCTGTGTTGGCTAGGGGTAAGCATCAGTCCAAGTAGTTCAGGTTTAAAAAACATGTGGCCCTCAAGATGATGCCAGATCATCATCTCTAAGCATTGGCTATGTAAGCAAGATGAACAACATCTAGAAAGCCATGTCTCCTACCCCTGTTCCAAATTTTTCTTCAGTTTCCTTGTGCAATTTGCAAGCTCTGGGAAATAGAATTTGTTGGTCGTTTACTGAGCTGTAATCAACACATGAAAAACATGATTATGTAAATCCATTACTGCATAAGGAATTTCATGACTGAAGGGGAATAACAGTCAGTTGCATGAAAAATTCCAGGTTCTTTCTAGAATTCTCACTTATCAGATAGATGCAGGTGTTATTGTAATGTGATGATGCAACCTAAATCACACTGCTGCCTGCCTCTTGCCAGTCAGTGAATGACGTGGCAAACACAGTCTTACAGATTTCCACAGAAAGGTGGAAATTAACAGAAGGGTAGTTCTCCTTTATCTCTTCTTTACAATGTGTGTTACAAATGTGAAGGTGGTTGGAAATATGTGTCCATAATATTAATCGTCTCCTCAGTGGTTCTTCTATATCA